TATTCTGTGAGAACGTGGTCCTTCCCCGTCCGAGCCGAGCAATTCGTGCTACAGCTATACTTCTAATATAGCTGCAGCATGGCTCTACCACGTATAAACATAGCATTTGCCCGAATTGCGGTAACTCTGACCTTTGACACTGTATCAATATGTAATAATTTAAGCTTGATTTTAGGAGCTAGGTTATTACACCGCAATCTATCGGAAGCCAGTAGATTTTTATGGCATTTCCTATTATCGCCTCTTATTACACCCACGGGACAAAATGGTGTGATGGATTTTCCACATCTGTGGTTTTTCTTACATTTAACTATTTCTGCGCCTTAATGCTTATATCTATTAGCTATAAGGCATTACATTTTCTACCGACTTCAAAAAGGAGCCGGTACTCAATTCGACTGTATGTTTTTTTTATGTGTGTTACCTTATAACTTCTTACTGGGTGAACCGATTTCGATGATTCTTTTTTTATTTGAAAGCTGGTGCTTCCCGTGTGGCCCCATATAAATTTGATTAAGGTCTGACCAATAGTGTATAATAATTAAAAAATATATTCTTAATAATTTATATTGAAGTCGGTTGTAAAAAAAATTTAATTTTAAATTATACTACTTCTCATACAACAGTAGTTTTTAATTTGTTTATGTTGTATTTTAGTTTGTGAGGTGTGGTTGCTCAGCGGCAAAGTGCCCGCCCTAAATTTCACAGTACACAAACAACCAGGGTTCGATCCCTGCCGGTAGATACCGTGTAGTAACGGTGTAAGAATATCTACCACCCCACATCATCCCGTGGATATTGTAAGATGCGACAGAGGAAAACAAATCAGGAGATGGGCAGCAGCGTCAATAACGATTAAAAATAAAAAGAAATTGCGGTTCCAACCTCCTTGCCAAGCGTGGTAGGTAACTATGGCAAAATCCCGTATGAGACGATCTATAGAGGTGGCCAGTGTTCAATAGTGGACTTTTAATAGGCTGTAACGTAAATCAAAAACATGCTCAAAATACGTTAATGAATTAAAGAACTTATTGTATTCTAAATCGAGAAACACTACGCACGTTTTTCACACGCAGTAGAAATACGAATCATCGGGTAACAACGTTCCATACGCACGCGCCGCCACATCAAAGAGACCGGCACTACGCATCGGCGGCAAGATGGCGACGCTGACAAAGACCAGTGATAAATTAAGATGAAGCGACCTACACGTTGATTACAGTAATAAGGGCACGAACTACGCAGTGAAATAGGAATGTAATTTAAGTAATTATCCGTAGACATACATGAACAATGAATTGTAATGACTACTGAATTATTAAAACAAAACCAATCAGTTTGCATTCTTCGAATAAAATAAGTAAGTATATAATACACTTTTTTATATTATAATTATAACATTTGAGATTTGAGCAACAAATAAACTCTCGACATGATTCACATACAACCGGCTTTAATCAAAGCGGAATAAGATAAATAGACTATGCATTGACTCGTACAAAATTTTGTACAACCGACTTCAATATAAATTATTAAGAATAGCTCAAAAAATTTTGGTTAGACCTTGATCAAATTTATATGGGGCCACATGGGAAGCACCAGCTTTCAAATAAAAAAAGAATCATCGAAATCGGTTCACCCAGTAAGAAGTTATAAGGTAACACACATAAAAAAAAACATATAGTCGAATTGAGTACCACCTCCTATTATACCATTTTCTACCTCCTTTGAAGTCGGTAGAAAATAGTTTAATTGTTACCCTTTTGTGTGTTATTATTTATTTGATGGATGTCTTTATCAGACGGCACTCACACACAGTTGATTTTTAATTTCATTTTTATTATATGTCGTCAATGTTGAAGGAGAAGCATTAACTTTAATTTGGAGCAGACATTCACATTTTTTTAATATCAGAGAGGGCAAACGAGCATACGGCTCACCTGAAGGTAAGTGACTACCGACGCCTATGAATAACTGCAACACCAGGGGAATTGCAGATGCGTTGACGGCAGATGTTTTAAAAAATGTAGACTCTTTTCTTGAAGGTTCCAAAGTAGTATCGGTCCGCATAAATTGCTGGTGGTATTCGATTCCACAAGAAAGTTGTGCGAGGAAGAAAACTTCTTCTAAATTGCACAGTAGTGGACCGCCAATAATCCAGGTGGTATAGATGGTATTTCGAGTTTTGTTGCGATGTGCGATAGTGAAGTTGAGCGGCTGGAATTAGTTCTAACAATTTCTCAGGGCACTTCCTGTAATTGATACGATAGAATACGTAAAGAGATGCAACAATTATCCGCAGCGCCAGTGAGAGAAAGACCTCAGTCGCCGACGATTCGAGCCTCTCTGCGCTGGATGCGATCAAGTGGAATGAGCTGGCACTGTGGAGCCCCGGCCCAGAGGTCGGTCACATATGGTATTCCATATGTGACCGAACCTGTACCTTGTAAAGTTGCAGGCGGTGTGCCGACATGAAATACTGTCCCGCTCTGCTGAGTACATCAAGCTTTTAGAGACCAATTTAAAAAAATGGCCCTCTCTTCCATGTGACCACGAAACTGCACGTCATTCGATATGTCGATGCCGAGGATTCTTATACTGGTTGAGGCAACAAGGGGGGTGCTTAAGCGTGGCGATAAACTATCCAACCACTTTTTATAATTCCAGATGCACAGTTCTCAGATCGGTGAAATGAAACATCGGTAAGCATAAGCATAGCAAAAAACGAGAAGTCCGGTATTGCGTTAAAAGCTTCATAAAATGGGGTTGCCTAAGACGGATGAATGTATTATTTTTAAAATTATATTGCGTTTCTTAATAAAACCAATAATATGTTTGCTAAAATATGATTTATTATGTTAATGAAGAAGACCCAGCGTCTCTATAGCAGTTCGTCTCTCCCCTGCAGCTACTGATCGAATGAGGAGGGAATGAAATGCGGCGCTCTGTAATACTACGACTCCTCTTCCTTTTACTTCAACAGCTCGCCTAGTACTTCTTCTCATATGAGAAATACTTTCATCTTCTATATGCTTTGTAAACCTCCACTTTACGGCAAGGCAGAAACCCGTTGGAATATTAAACCCTATAAAATCACTTGCTTAACCAACAAGGAGACTTAGAGGCAATAGTGGGGTTTACCATTGAGATAGAATTCGCAAATAACGTATGTCTGTTAGCGCTAGCCAATGTGTGTTAGTGGGCTTAACAATTTTATTAATTAGGTACTTAGGCACAGGTTACCTCACAGCCAAGAACTTCGTAAATTAGTAATTTAAATTTCAATAAATCAATTCCAATGCTGAAAGCGGGTGCTTAGGGCCTGAGTTATCACGGTTCACATGACGTTATTACTATTTCATCTTCATTACAGCCCTTCACAAATCCATTGCTGAAGGTAATTCATTATATTAACTAATAATAATAAGGTAATAAACGTGGAGTGAGTATTTTAATTACTGTAATAATTTTCCACCAGCACTATATCTAAAGTGAACATACATATATACATAAACTCACGTTGTCAACCAAAAGGATAAGCAGAGACTAAGCACCGAAAAAACAGACCCAGACTCAGGTCTCCGTCAGCTCTACGTCAGTCGGTAGTGACGTAACCTACCACTCCCTGTTTCGCACCATGAGCCAAAAACTATATTACGTATTATAAAAAGATTGTCTTCATAGGATAGGGTGAAAAACGAGCACACAGTCTACCTGATGGTAAGTTGTTACTGTGACCCATAGACATCTACATATATCCTCAATAAATAATCCAAATGCAGATGCGTTGTGACCCGCGAGGACTAAGATGGAATGCCTCTTCTCCAGTACAAAGGGTCTCCGGTTCTTTACACTCACCATACGAAACACAGCAGTGTTAAGCTGCTATTTTACGCTGGTATTCTGTGAGAGCGTGGTCCTTGCCCGGTCGAGCCGACCCATTCGTGTTACAACTATACAATTAATATAGCTGCAGCATGGTTCTACCACGTATAAAAACGCCAATTTTTCGGAAAACACCTATGTCATGAGAAGAACTAGCAAGAAGCCATCGGGAACTTTTTAACACATTAATTTATAATATAATTTGTAGGACAATTCAATATAAAAACATTTAGAAACAGCATGGTAGCGATCACCTTATTTTCCCAGGGGTTATTATCAATCGTGTACTCCTTCATCTACTCCATTACAGACTACAGAAGTCTATTGCTAAACATAGGCCTCCTCCATGGATTTCCTTTTAGGAGCTTGGCAAGCGAGTTGGCAACCGCAGTTTTTATTAATTTAGGTTGTTATCAGAAAGATGCTGCTGCCCATCACCTGTTTCAATTTCCATCTGTTGCCTCTTACGACACCCACGGGACGATATGGGGTAGTGGATATTCTTACACCGCCACTACACTGTTGATGTTATTGTGTACATGTACTCCTTATTGGTATATAGCTTTCACTTAGATAGATCCCCACAGACGTAGAATTAATCAAGTCACAATGATAGAAACAAGTGACGTAGGGTAATAAAAATTCCCAGTGTGATTTAAGACATCACGCCTCATCTATAAATAGGGCAACTTCATCTCGCTAATTGTCACACAGAGAACCGCGTTAATCGCCGATGACTTGTATAATTGCACGCTCATGCGGGTCACGTGTATCGCTTTTCTCATTTCAATTATTATGTAATTCTATATTGTGTATTGTTTGTTTATTTTATTACAAAATGTTTTTTAAAGGGTTGCTTTTATGTTACTTATTATGTAATTCATTATTTTTAATTCATTAAAAAATAAAAGTCCAAAGCATACTTTTTTATTGTAATTTTATTGTCATAATTACAGCCTATCAAATTTGCACTGCTAAATATAGGCCGCTCTCACATACTGGGTGTCCGGTGGCAGAATTAGGATTTAAATTTCGAACTGTTTTCGAACCGTTAGCGGAGGGGCGGGCGGGGGGGTCACGTTCGATTCGTCATTCGTGCGGGTTCCTTAGTCACGATGTCGCAGTGGACGGGTGAACAACGTGCGTTCGCAATCGAAGCTTATTTTAAAGCAAACGATTCCTGTGCTATTGCTCGTCGAAGATTTTGTTCGCGGTACAATATCCGACGGTTACGTGATGCGCCAAGCGAAAATTTGATTCGATTGTGGGTGCGGAGGTTCAGAAAAACAAGTTCAGCAGCAAATAATCCGCGGCCGGGATCCAGCAGAACGTCGAGGACTGATGACAACATCGAACTTGTCGCAAACAGTTTACGCGATAACCCGCGACAGTCCGTGCGTAAGAGAGCGGCTGCTCTAGGGCTCCCAAAAACGATTGTGCACGAAATATTGAAAAAGGACCTTAAACTTCACCCCTTTAAAATTCAAATTGTGCAAGCGCTTAAGGTGGCACAAGTCGCGGGCTCGAACTCGCTGGTGGGCGCGGCCAAAAAGCACGCTGTCTCACCTGGCATCGTGCCCGACAGAGATAGTATCAGTGATGAGCATATCGACACTAGTATTCACGCACGTCTTGTTCGTACGGCATTCAGAACCGTTTGAACAAAAACGAAGTTACACGAACACGATGCAACATTTATACTAATATAATAAAGCAGAAAATATAGATCTTTACTCCGTCTAAAAAAAAGTCCGCGATACCATATGTCTATTTTTTATATACTCGTATAAGCCACAATTAGGCATTTTTATTTTGACAAAAAAAAAATGAAAATTTAATTATTAGGCATGGCATATTTATCCTTACGAACGAAAGTTACTTCATTATCAAGACAATTTTTTGAAGATAAACTTCGTTGTTTATGCCATGTTTATATAGTACATAGTTGAGATAATGTAAAATTAAAATAATTCAATACTTGGCCTTGACGCGCAAACAACGCATAACCCCTAGCCCGGTGCGAACTGAGAAGCCAGTATTGAAAGCTTCTATGAGCGAGGTTAGGTTAGCCGTTAGTTCAATCATTATCTATATCTACACAAATAAATAAAATTGAAGTGTCTGTTATAATGTCAAAATAACAGCTTTTTACTAATTGCATATGAAATTATATACGCTACTTATAACACAATTTTTAACATTTTTCTGTCTGTCTGTCTGTTTGTTCCGGTTAATTTCCAAAACGGCTGGACCGATTTTGACGGGACTTTCACTAGTAGATAGCTCATGTTATAAGTAGTAACTTAGAATGCTTAAATTTTAGAAAAATTATTAGGCGTCCGTGCAACAAAATTAACACCCTAAACTAAATGCGGACGAAGTCGCGGGGAACAGCTGGTAGCTAAAATAAATTCAAAATTAATTGAGTGCTTTTATCTATCTCCCAGGTGAGCGTAACAATGATTAGTTAATTCTGAACTCTTTCATTTCACGTTGCTATGGTATTTTGAAAGTTTAATTGATTAATAAGTTTTTATTTTATTTATTTCTTTAAAAAAAAGACGTTACCCCCACACTAGGATTTTCTCGTGTATCGTGGAGGCAGTTTACAAACACAAATTGCACAAGGACAAACATCCAGACCCGGAACAATTATTTGTAGGCCATACAAATACAAATACTTGATCCGTGCGGGATTCGAACCCGCGGCCCCCTGCTCAGCAACTCATTGCTAAGACACTGCGCCACGGAGCCGTATAAGAGTATAAGAGGTTGATAGCAAATGTATCAAGAATCATTTCTTGCCTACACACTTTTCATGTATCGTGTACGTTTTTCTTTAAAACTGAATAAAACCGCGCATAGTATGCCGACAGATAAAATAAAAGTACTTCATTAATTATGACAATTTTTCCATACATTATTATCAAATAAAATATTTGATTGCAATTATAAAACTAGGTGTCATGTCATGCCATGCATCTCGGACACATGATGACGCGGGTGAAACCGCGAAATGATTAGGCGCTGCTTTATCGCTTCATATTATACCTCTGTGGCTCTATATACCTAATATAGATTGCTTATTTTATTATGTTTAGTTTTTCCGAGTGGTTATGCAGCGATCACTCAAGAGTTCGGCTTCGAACGTGTGTAACTGCAAAAATTATCCCACGGGAACGAAATATTTTATATTACTGGGAGCCGCGGGTTCGAATCCCGCACGGAACAAGTATTTGTATGGCCTACAAATAATTCTTCCGGGTCTGGATGTTTGTCCTTGTGCAATTTATGTTTGTAAACTGCCTCCACGATACAGGAGAAACTCCTAGTGTGGGTGTAACGTTTTTTAAATAAGAAAAAAAAAATTTGTATGGCCTACAAATAGTTGTTCCGGGTCTGGATGTTTGTAAACTGCTTCCACTATACAGGAGAAAATGCTAGTGCGGGGGTAATGTATTTTTAAAAAATAAAATAAAATAAAATTCCAGACTATAACCTATCTCTGAGCAAAATATCATCCAGGTCCCTTCAGCGGTTCTGGCGTGATTGAATAACATACATCCTTTCATTCGTCCATCCAAATATCCAAACTTTCGCATTTATAATATTTAGATAATAATTGTAATTAGTTCTGCTTACCTATAAATTTTTTTCAAAAATACTTACCTGTCTTCTTACTTTTTTTTATATATACTCAATATCACTAAACGTAAACACAGGTTTTTATCAAGACAAGTGACCCATCAAGATTGTTTTCTTAGTACTGACGTACCTACCTAAAGTTTACAATTTTGTGGCCACGACGCGGTGACGTTTTGTGACATTTTGTTGTATTGTAGGTTGTAGGTATCTAGGTAATAACAGTAGGTACCTATGAAAATCCCACATAATATACCTTGTTTGTCCGCCGCAAGAGTCGTCTAATAAATAATTAAACTGTTTTGTAATTCTTTATTTATTTATAACACTTGCATTGAGAGCCGTGGTAGCTCAGATGGTTATCGTTCGCCGTAAGTATCACACTACGCGAGCAACCCGGGTTCGATCCCCGTCGGCACCAATGAAATTGTTGCAATTTTATATAGTAATCGTATATTATAGACTTAATTTTTTTTCTTTTATAATTATATTATATTACAGACGAAAATTGAAATAAAAAACAAAATTGTCTGTCGTCCAAAACGCATCATCTCTTTCAATTATATCAATTTCCATGCTGTCTTTTGTCTTTGGCGTCCAAATTACAAAATAGCAAAACTTTTCGTTTCGAATAAAACTCGAATAAGCCCGCGTCACCGCCCGTGCATGTGTGTGTAAGCGTCGTCCTCCCGCACCGCACCGGGGCAAACATTATTCAGTGAGATGCACGATAATTCATAGTAACATACGCGCGTAAAAAAATACGAAAAGGCCTTTGGAAGAAGGGGTTTTATGAAAAAACCACTGCATAAATTAATTACGAATAAAATTTCTTGAATTCTTCGATAATTGAGCTGTGTCGGTACCGACTTTGTTTTGGAAATTTCACACTTCTTTTATTACTAATTTACGCCCAAAGTTGTGTTAAAATTGGCAATAAAAACGAATCTTTGGTAGCTCGTAACTTTTTAATAACATTTTATTTTACTATTCTGTTTCCGTACAGACAAATTTGATAATGAGACAAAACGATATCATGTTTAACTTTGGATGTACACTGTCAAACAGCGTAGTAAAACCCCTCCGAAATTTGTATGGAAATCAATGGAAATATTGTCGACTAGTGTCACCTTAAGCCTAATGATTACAATTGGCGCAAAAGTTTCTGCGAAACAATGTTGCAGCGATTTCGTACAGTGAACACAATCTTTTGGAGCGATGAAGCCCATTTTCATTTAAATGGAAGTGTAAATAAACAGAACTGCCGTTATTGGTCACCTAAAGGACAGAACCCGCGATTGAAACATCAACAGCCACTTCACAGTCCCAAAGTGACGGTTTGGTGTGCATTGTCAAGCAGAGGAATAATCGGACCCTATTTTTTTGAAAATCGTCAAGGACAAGCCATTACTGTAACCGGCGTTTCTTATCGGCGAATGCTTAACGATTTTTTCCTGCCAATATTAAGAGAACATCCTGCCTACAGTTCACAGACATGGTTTCAGCAAGATGGCGCCACGCCTCACACTGCTAGAGAGACCATGGCGCTTCTTCGTGATTTGTTCCCTAACAAATTGATAAGCCGTTTTGCTGACATCCCCTGGCCACCCAGGTCGCCGGATCTTACCCCCATGGACTTTTTTCTGTGGGGGTACCTCAAAAGTAAAGTTTATGAAACCGCCCCACCGACCATCTCAGCATTAAAAGAAAATATCGTTCGCGAGGTTAATGGCATCCCGACGTCCCTTCTCCAGCGAGTGGCGCGCAATACTGAAGCCAGATTCCAAGAGTGTGTCCGACGTGATGGTCAACATTTAGACGAAATAATTTTTAAGAAATAAAACCCGCACTTCCCTTCTTTGTTATAGTCATTGAAATAAAAAAAAATATTTTGCAGTTTTTTTATTATTTAATTTTGAAATCCTAATTCTGCCACCGGACACCCGGTATAACCTCATGAGGGAGGGTGTCCTGTATGCCACGTTTCTAATAAAAATTATCTCCGGTTCGCTATACTCACCATACGAAACACAGCAGCATTGAGCTGCTGTTTCAAGTTGATATTCTGCGGAGAGCGTGGTCCTTCCCCAAACGAGTCGACCTATTCGTGCTACAACCACAATATAGCTGCAGCAAGGCTCTACCACGTACTTATATAATTAAAAAACATGTGACAAAAATTTTGTTATAGGTATATAATATTCTTCGATTATCTATTCATTTATTATACATATTTAGAACAAGTGAAACCGTTGGACAAACGGCATTTTATTTGCTTGCGTAGGAAGGAATTAAAGAGTTTTAATATTTCATTCAAAAACGAAGTATTCGAAACGGCACTTGTGAAGACTAATTTTTTTTTCACCCTATTTCTGGGTGACACTCGTAAATCATAGGTGTCACAGCATCAGTCTCTTTGTGTAGCTTGTAGTTTATTATTTGAATGGTGAATAGTTGATAATATAGTGGTAAACGGTCAATAACTGTCATAAATCTATTGTACTATTAGTCATGTATATACTCGTACCTATACTATAGGGTATTTAGATAGAGTGGTTTACTTCTTTTTTGTGCAACAATAACACATATAATTATAAGATTATTATTAATTAATAATGAGTTACTATATTACTTAATTTCTTAACAGTATTAAAACGAAACTCAGACCAACAAAGAAAGATAGACGGAGCGCTGTGTACATTGCAAGTGATGCATATTTCTTTTTTCTATCTTTATCAGCACCTATAAGTTAAATCACTTACACAACATTATAGTTGTGCAAGTGATTTAGACGTATGTATGTACGCGCGTTCATATAATAAATTTGCATAACTTAATTCCTCTCTCTCTCTCTCTTCCACCACCGAACAACCAGACTCCACCTTTCCGTTGACGACTTACCACGCATTCGAAACAAATGGCTTGCTTCATCGTTCAGCATGCGTACAGCAAAGAATTGAAATAAGTTGGCGGCATGTGTCTTTCCATCCGATTACAATGTGGATGTCTTCAAGGGCTG